ATCAAAAGTATTTTGAACATTCAAAATGTCCATACAGAGCAAATATATGTTCTTTCCTTAGAAAACCTGAAATTTAAATGATAGACATTTAAGGAAAGCCACAAAATGTCCATACAGAGCAAATATATCTTCTTTCCTTAGAGAACTTGAAATTTAAATGATAGGCATTTAAGGAAAACAATCAAACTATCAAAGGTTTTCAAAGTGGTGATATCTCCACTGCTAGGGAGAATGTGGAGAGACAGGAACCCTTAAATACTACAGATGTTTGTGTGTCATTAGCACAACGATTCTTGAGGGCAGTATGATAGTCTGATGCTGTAGCTATCAAAATATCAAACGTGCATCCCTTTCTTCTGGAAATCTTTCATAAATGCTAAGCTGGTAATTTTAATTAACTCTTTCTAAGAACACCCGAAAGCAGGCAATGTATTTTTTTTTTTAATCTGTTTTTTAAGGCAAGAGAGAACTACCAGTGCATGGGGCCAAGATCCAGGAGAAAGAAACCAAGACCATCAGACTTTGGGGGCCACTTTATCCTTAAAGACACCGCCTTTGTTGGTAAAAACTGCAGAGAGGCTGAAAAGTTAAGCAAGGTTAAAAAGAAAATAGAAGTCCATGGTATGTTCCAGGAGGAAGGGCCCCAGTAGTCTAACCCCAGGCTTTAGGGTAGGACCTAGTGAGCTGGAAATGGACCAGTCCTCGCAGGCATTGAAATTCAGCTTTGAATCATTGTTCAGTTACTGATTTGATTTGAGACAGTTCTCCATGGAGATCCAGAAGATAATTAATCCCTGGTGTTCTAAGGCATCTATTGCTTATGAGGAATTAATTTTTCTCTGTTATTTCTAGGATGATGCTAGCTGCCTACCCTTCTTGGGAGAGTTGAGAAAATAATCACTCAAAAGATTTTCTGCAGGGCTTAATTCTCTCACAAAACCTTAGCTGAGAACAGCTGAATTACGTTATCTAGGGTTACTAATGCCTACGCTCTCCCCAGTCACCAGCTAGAAGCTGGAGGGAGATATCATCTTACGGCTTTAAATTATGTCTATAATTTTTATATATACAGATCCAGACTCAATCAAAAAGTGACCAAGCTCACGAGGAGGTAAGACAGTCTGATAGAAAACCAGAGTAAAAACAACAGAAGCAAACCCGTGGAGAATCAGATAATAGAATTATAAGAGACAGATTTTAAAAATATTTTTATCAAAATTAAGCAAAGATCTGAAAACTAGAAACATTCTAATTAAAAGTCTAGAACTGAAAAGTTATAACAAATTTAATATTCAGCGGATGAATTTAACAACTTGTTAGATATAGCCAGACATAGAGATATCTGAAAATACTGAAGCATGTAGAGACAAAATATAGAAAAAGGACACACACACACACACACACACACACACACACACACACACACACAAAAGACAGAGAGGTGAAAGTGGAGAAGAAACAGTATTTGAAAAGATAATGACTGTTGATGAAAGACATTTGTTCACATTTTTTTCTTTTTTTTTTGAGAAAGAGTCTCACTCTGTCGCCAGTCACCAAGCTGGACTGCAGTGGCACAATCTCGGCTCACTGCAACCTCTGCCTCCTGGGCCCAAGCAGTTCTCCTGCCTCAGACTCCCGAGTAGCTGGGACTACGGACGCACACCACCACACCCAGCCAATTTTTGTATTTTTAGTAGAGACGGGGTTTCACCACGTTGGCCAGGATGGTCTCGATCTCTTGACCTCGTGATCTGCCCACCTTAGCCTCCCAAAGTGCTGGGATTACAGGCTTGAGCCACCGCGCCCGGCCTCACATATTCAATAAGTACTACAAGCCCCCAGGAGGATAAATGCAACCATGCCTAGGAACATTATAGTAAAACCACTAAAAGCTAAAGATGAAAATAAATCCATATGTGTGCATACAAATTAAATCTATCACAAGACAAGACGTATTGTTTCAAATGAGTAATAAGACTCTGAGCTGGCTTCTCAACAGAAACAGTGGAAAGCTATAAAATCTTCAAAGTGCTGGAAGAAAATATGGAAAAATTGTTTGCAGATACATGTTTGACTCTAGTAATTACTCTGTAAATTGTAATGAAAGGTTGGAAGCCTCTTAAATGTCCAATAAGAGATTTAAAAATATTTGCCTCCAACAGTGGACCACGTAACCATTAAGAAGGATAAGGTAAATCTTTAGGTAATGACATGTTAAAGTGTTCCAAAGGTATTGTTAAGTGAAAAAAGCAGGTTAATAATATTGTATACACTACCATTTACATCAGCAATATTGGGATACAGTTGAATATAGAAGGATAGGCACCAAAATGTTAACGGTGGTTATCTTAGGATGGTGCAATTGTAAGATAATTTTACTCACATTCTCTTCAAATTTTGTATTTTTGAACAAAAATACTTTCATTTTAAAAAGGGGGAACAAAACCAGTCAATACTTCAAAGGTTGTGTTGTCTGTATTGCCCGTAGGTCCATTGTAGATGTGTTAAAATGGATATTATTAAGTGCATTTCATTACCTCTACATGTAAGAAACTCAGCAAAAGTAAGCTTCGGATAAGACCCCGAGACTTAGATCCCTAGGACTCTGGATCTTCCTTGAAGCCCCATGTTGGCTCTCATTTTATGAGAAGCATCAATCAGTGGTTACTCTTCTCTGATTTAAAATTACTTTTCTTGATAAGAAACTTTGGAATAATGTTGAGGATAGGGTTACATTAAAAAAAATTCTTTTTCTGCTAAAATGGAAGCCTAAATTGCAATACAGTCTGCTCCCTAAAGATAAAAAAACTAGCTGTATTCTTATTTCCTTAAAATAAAATATTTGGATCACAATACCAAAAGGCACAATCCGAAAGGCCGTAATCCCGAATCTTGAGTTCCTGAAACGTCAAAACCCCTAAGGATCTAAATCCCTAAAGTCTAATATCCCTGGTGTCTAAAATCCCAAAATTGCAGTCCCGAAAGATTAAAATCCCAAGTGATGAAATCCGGAAAACCCAACTCCGGGGAAGGGATTGGTGTGTTTTCATTTGCACACAGGATAGTTGCATTATGCTGATTGCATCATGTTAGGTAGAACTATTACCTGTTGTCTTTATTGGGAAATTTAGTATGGTTTAATGTATGGGTGCCAGCTTGACAAGGGGTGGGCCTGTGAGCTTAATTTTAGATGTCAGCTTGACCAGTAGAAACTGGTAGAAACCTCGTAGAGCATAATTTTGGGTGTATCTGTGAGGGTGTTTCCAGAGATTTATGTGTAAGTCTGAGTGGACTTGATGGGGAAAACCTGTCCTCAGTGTTGACAGGCCCCATCCAACCAGCCAGGGACTCAGAAGAGAACAAATACAGAAGGCACATTCGTTTGTCTCTGAGAGCTGGGACAAACTTTTCCTCTGCTGCCTTGGACATGAGAAATTTGACACCATGAAAGTGCATTATCACGTTGCCTTTGTGCGTAAGCATATTGTGTGTGTATGTAAAAATGCTGACACTTCCTTAATAAATGAAGAGATGTTTTTGTGCACATCTGAATTTGTGAAATATAAAATTTCTGGAGATCTCAGTTCTTTGGGAAACTGCCTATGTGGGGGGTGACCCATCATGGTTTTGATCTATCTTGTCAAAAGACTTAGGTTGTTTGTCATGGTATTTCAGGTGACCACAATTACAAAGCTGGGTGCCCGCAGTTACCAACCATAATGACATGCATTTTACATTGCCCTTTTTACCTGTTTGTTTATGAATACAGCTTGTGTACTCATAACTGTTAGACCCATGTGACTGTTGGTCTGCCTGTGTTTATGCTGTGATAGCCTAACAGACTGCCTCTCAGATGTGAGCCTGACAAACTTTATCTTAGCCTCTCCCTCCCCGCCATTTGTCCTTCGGGTGCACAGCTGGGTCACGCTGTACCGAGTACCTTGTAACTGTTGTAACTACACCCTGCTTGGCAAGTCTACCTGCTAATGTGACTAACTTACCCCCCTTGGTGATTGCGTGTATGGAAAGTGCCCCCTGCTATTCCCCTTGGTAACCAACAGTCCTGGGAACCGCCTGCCCCCTGGTTACCAGCTTCCTTATTGAACTTGCTTGTTCTGCTTCTGCTTAATTCCAGTTTGCCCACCCGCCTTCTCTAAGCATGGTATAAAAAGGAATCAAGCCCCTTCTTCGGGGCCGAGAGAATTTTGAGCATTAGCCGTTTCTTGGTCACCGGCAATAAAGGACTCCTGATTCAATCTCAGAGTGTGCCACTTTCTCTGTAACTCGCTCGGTTACAGTAATGCTTGCAAAAATACATGTTTTGTTATTGCCTATTGTATTGTACAAAGTGGCCTTTGAAGTGTTCTGTTGTGTTTTTATATGTTTCTCAAGTAAATTCCCCTTTAAAATGTAAATAATTGGCCGGGCACGGTGGCTCAAGCCTGTAATCCCAGCACTTTGGGAGGCCGAGGCAGGTGGATCACGAGGTCAAGAGATCGAGACCATCCTGGTCAATTTGGTGAAACCCCGTCTCTACTGAAAATACAAAAAATGAGCTGGGCATGGTGGCGCGTGCCTGTAGTCCCAGCTACTCAGGAGGCTGAGGCAGGAGAATTGCCTGAACCCAGGAGGCGGAGGTTGCGGTGAGCCGAGGTCACGCCATTGCTCTCCAGCCTGAGTAACAAGAGCGAAACTCCGTCTCAAAAAAAAAAAAAAAAAAAAAGTAAATAATTACATTTTAAAGAATGTCTTTTGTTTTTCCAGAATTATATCTTTGGGATTTTGGTGTTTCACAATTTCAGCAGTCAGGATTTTGGCATTCAGGATTATGATTGGCTCCCAGATAGGATAAATCTTCAGCATTAAATTGCAGTTCTCTTGGTGCAGTGCAGGAAACTATTTAATAATTTTGATTATTTATATTGGTAACGTACACGAGGGACTGTAATTTGGGGCAATGAAGCATCGTTTGGATAATAAAGTCTAAATTGTTTTTCTAGGCCGAGAAATCCGTCTTCCCCTCCGAATCAAAGGGGAAGGAATGGGACCCAAGATTCGCTTCAACTTTGAATTGCTGGATATTGGGAAGGTTTTCACTGGATCTGTACATTGTTATGAGGTAAGCACTAGAGGTGTTCGCTCAGACTTCAAACAGTACTTGGCTTTTGGGGTGTGTTTTATCTTATGTGTTTTTATTTGATAGAAACTGTGTGCAATCACATCTTCGCCATTACTCCTCCTCACTGAGGCCCCAGAGTGCTTGGATTCTTCCTCTTCTTGCTCGGCCGTCATGAGGGGAGCAACTTTTTTATCCTCATCAGCCTTCACTCACTTTAGTAAAAGATAAAAGCATCAAAGCCATAGTTTAACTGGTTTTATCGTCATTGTTTTTTAGATTGCAAAGGGAAAACCCATAAATACATCTCCCCGTCTGTTTAGTGCTTGTTCTCTGACAACGTAAATTCCACAGATCAGAGGATAGAGAACCTTTTCCGTTTTCTAGAATGTCCTAATGAGCATAGCTGTTTTCACACTTCATAATTTTCTCTTAATGCACTGGTCTCCAATCCATGTTTTAAAAACCAATCATAGTTTGTGGAAGAGACTTTCCTGCGTTATCTTTCCAATTAATTGGAAAGTGAAATTTTACCGGATGTACGCGAGTCCCTCAGGATCAGTGTTTACTTCATTGTCTCCCCATCACTGAATTTGTACGCAGGGCACATTTTTTACACTGTATCAGGCTATAAGCCGTGAAGCTTCATTTTGTAAAGGTTCCTCAATTGTATATGTTTGTATTTTTATAGAGGTATTCAAAGCATTCATGTAATGAGTGACAAATAGGTGTCAGGTTCATGCTTATGTGTGCATGTCTGTGTATTTGTGTGTGATTTCTAATTCTTACCAAATTGTGAAAGTTAGGCTTTATTACATCTATTTTGCATAATTTGGATCATGTAGCGGTTAATACCATACACGACATCTCCCTTAATGTGCGTTGAGTACAGTGCTAGTGCTTTGACACTCATTCTTTCATTTAGTCCTCACAAAAATGCTATTTGTATCCTAGCACTTTGGGAGGCCAAGGCAGGTGGATCACAAGGTCAAGAGATCGAGACCATCCTGGTCAACGTGGTGAAACCCCGACTCTTCTAAAAATACAAAAAATTAGCTGGGCATGGTGGCGCACGCCTGTAATCCCAGCTACTCGGGAGGCTGAGGCAGGAGAATTGCCTGAACCCAGGAGGTGGAGGTTGCAGTGAGCTGAGATCACGCCATTGCACTCCAGCCTGGGTAACAAGAGCGAAACTCTGTCTCAAAAAAAAAATAATTAAAAATTAAAAATTAAAAAATTAGCTGGGCGTGGTGGCAGGCAGCTGTAATCCCTACTACTCAGAAGGCTAAGGCAGGAGAATTGCTTAAATCCAGGAGGTGGAGGTTGCAGCGAGCCAAGATCAAACCACTGCACTCCAGCCTGGGCAACAGTGTGAGACTCTGTCTCAAAAAACAAAACAAAACAAAAACAAAAAAACACCCTATTTGTGAGAACTATTTGTGAGGTACAGGTACTATTCCCATTTTATAGCAGCATGAGCTGAGCTTTAGAGAAATTAAGTAATGCCAGATACTGTAACAAATACAAAATACATAATACCTCCAATATGCTACAAGTTTCTTTTATGCCTTACATAAAGGTCAAAAGAAAGGTTTCTAGTGAGCAGGTGCTCTCTTCCAGCAGAGAGGCTGGAACATCTCATGCTTAGCCACCCCTACCACATGGTCTACAAAGACTGCAAAAGGGGAAAGGGCATGGGGGAACGCATATGATGTTTTTATAGAAGGTAGCACATTTCACTTACATTCATATTCCATTAGCTGCATGCACAGAAAAAGGAGAAATGGGTTCTAGGAAAGAAAAACCTGACTGCTAGAGGAGTTAAGTAACTTGGCAGGGTCCTATAGCATGTAATGTTAGTGAGCCCTGGAGGACTAAGGCTCTCTCTCCTGTTCTGGGAAGAGAAGGCCTTTGCTGGCCTCTCAGTCCTTCAGGTTCTCAGCATCCCACCGTTTTTCCTTGGATACACCCAACCCACTTTACTCTTAGCCCAACTTAACCTGGCATGGGGATAGTGCCCTGCATTCCCATGTTCACTACGGTAACTGTGGCCTAAATGGGACGATGCAGAAGGTAAACAGAGATGTTAATGTCAGGATGAGATGGATTGTGCATAGGAACACAGTGTAAATGAAGAAGTCCATCTCATGGCTGTCATGAAGTGACAAGTGACACAGCTATATCCCACACTGTCCCAGGTTGCATTTGAGAGGTCACTTAGGGGAGAAGGAAGCAAAGTCCAGTCGTTCTCATTAAACTGATATTCTGTCTGTAATTTATCCAGTGTGAATTTCCTTTACATCTTACAGACTGAACTTATGAGTGCTACATCAGAAAAGAACCTTTAGTTCTGATGCAGAACGGGTAGGGTTTCCCTGAATATAAATTCAGCATAAGTGTACTTGAGGCCACCACTTCCCACCCTCCCTGAGTTTAACAGTAAAGCAAACCACAGCCAGTTAAATAAGTGTTAAATGAGGTGATGCATCAGAGTGCACAGTTTTGAGAGCCGTGCAGTGGCAGAGAAGGACACGGTAAGGTGCTTCTTATGGGAATATTTTGCACTCTCTGCGTATTTAATGCTGATACTTCATTGCATCTCTCTTTCAATTTATTGCATTACCTACTTGAGACAAATTTGAGTAACTAGCTATTGCCCTTAGTCATTGCTGAGCATAGCAGATACGAAAAGAATAAACCATAACCCCAAGAGTATACCCTATTCCCCAGTGTAATTAAGAAGGAAAACAAATGAGAGGCAAAGTTTGATTATAAATTTTCTTCTCTCCAAGGAGCTAGACCTCAAGGGAAAGATGATTATCAGTAATCAAAAGGCCTCTGAATTGTGCCCCAAAACTATTGCTGGTTTCTCTATTCATAAGTAGGTGCTTATTTGTTAGGAGGAGAAGAATGATGTCATCTTCTTAAAAATGGAGGAATTCTTACTGTACAGAAAATATGGGCAAAACATTTCTGCTAGCCAAAAAAACTAAAAGGCATGCATCTTCTCAAAGAGAAGAACAGGGTCCTCTAAGTTACCACTAATGCCTTCATTTTGTCTTCATGTTAGCACTCGTATGTAGTAGTCACTTCATAAGCACAGGTAAGATTTAAACCCATTCTGTTTGGCACTGGGGATATAAATAGCAGTCACTGACTATGTGTGGTGGCTCACGTCTGTAATCCCAGTGCTCTGGGAGGCTGAGGCAGAAGGATCACTTGTGTCCAGGAGTTTGAGACCAGCCTGGGCAATATAGTAAGACCCCCTCTCTACAAAAAGCTTACAAAAATCAGCTGGGTGTGGTGGCACATACCCATAGCCCCAGATACTCATAAGGCAGAGGCAGGAGGATTGCTTGCACCCAGAAGTTAAAGGTTACAGGGAGCTATAATGGCACCACTGCACTCCAGCCTGAACACAGAGCCAGACCCTGTCTCTTAAAAAACAAAAAAACAAGCAAAAACATAACAACAGCCTCTGTCATTTTTAAGCAATATTTGCCAAACACAATTCTAAAAATTACTTGCTAATAAATTTAATTTTATAGCAATATGAGAAGATATTAGTACTTAAATTTTATGGATCGGGAAACTGGGGCACAGAGAAACTAAGTAGATTGTCCAAGGCTTCAGAGCTAGTAAGTCAATGGCAAAGCTGAAGTTTGAACCCAGGCAATTTGGCTGCAGAGTCTCTGGCCATAATCACTTTTCTACGTGGTCTCTTTAAAAGGAATGAAGGGTGAAGCCTGGTTCCTACTAGCAGGGAGCTTAGAATGAGGGAGGTGGGAAAGAAACATAAAAAGATGAATAAAATAGCAAGGAGCAATTTTTTATGCTTCTATTTTGGTGCATTGTCCATCTTCTCTTGGCAGAAGAGACTGTCTTCCTCTGCAGAGGCTGCTGACTCTTTCTCTCTACTATATGTTCTGGATGCCCTCCTCTCTGCAACCTGAGCCCCTGAACTCATCCTCCTCTGCATCCACTCAGACCCTGTTCCCTTAGTTACCAAGTTCTCTTCTCTTACAACAACAACCGGAAGCACTTTGGTGAGGGCTTCCTCTAGGCTGAGCACTGAGTATGCTTTTATCTCATTTATTACAAATACGCTCTCTCCCCTACAGTACCTCCCCAAAGCCTTGCCACTTCTATTCTCACCTTTCACCACTCATCTTCTCAAAACAGGAACCAAAAATAGTCAACCACTATTCCCTGTGCACCCACTCAGTCCCCTAAACATTTGTCCTCTGGATTCCGCAATCATGCCCCATTGGAATTACTCTGTTCCTCAAGGTAAGGGATGACAATAACCTCTAACTAAAAATCACAAATCTATCACCTTTGCTCCAAACTTACACTCCTAACCTCTGTTCCCATATGACTTCTGGGGATCCTCCTCCCTCAGCTTCTGGGTTCCTGACACACTTCACATTTGCCTGCTATCCTTCTGAAAGTTTCTTTGAGATCTCTCATGCTCTTTGTCCTCCAAAGCCTTAAGTGTAGTTGAGGGTGGTTCCTATATAAATCAGGAAAACATGCTGTTCACCCTGTAGGTGTAAGGACAGCATTGGCAAGGATTAGAGGTGGTGTCTTTGGAAGCCAGGATAGAACAATATGGCTATAGTGCAGGTTCATGCACAAGAATTGCAGGGGCAGTAGACTGAGCCACGAAGGATCCGAATGTCATGAGTGTGATGAAGGAGCTCAGGCATGAGCTCTTCACATGCACACACTAAACCCAGCGTGCGACCACATATGGGCAGTAACATTCTTCCAGAACACTAGAATACAGGAATATAACTTTTTATAGTAAAACAGTTGCTTGCATAAGAATCTCAAAACAATCATCCATCCAGTAGAATCTGAGATGAGAATATCTCAATAGGAGGAAATCTGATAGCACAACAAAGAGAACCCTTGTCATCTGGAATCCACAATGATGTCTCATTTACATTCTTCAATCTACATTATAAACACAGGTATAGGTAATTCTCACTCTGCTATTCTAACTTGCTTTTTAAGTATGTGGCTTAACCTCAGCCTTCTCATGCGTATAAGAGAAATACTTTCCCTTGGTTACTTTATAGAGAGTAGCAAAAAAGGGGGTATTTTAAGGCTCTTCACAGTGTATGTGATGATGGTCAGTCTCTGTAGCACAAGCATAATATATTTGATTAATTTCATTTTAAAGAGGAGACTAAAAATGTAAAATTACTTTCTGGCTTCAGAGCTATATTCAAACATTCAAGGCATCAGACCATTCATTTGTCCCGGAGTGTTCTTTTGCTGTTAATTCCCACAACTTTCCCTTTGTTGGTATTAAACAGTACCGACACATGCTTATATGAAAATGGGCCAGAAGTCCAGTGACCTTCACATTCTTGCCTTTTATTGATAATAGGCGATACTGTACAACAAAGGCAGCATCGACGCTCTCTTCAGCATGGCCCCTTCAACTTCACCTTTGGGGGCCTGCTTTGTTTTCAGTCCCAAGGAAGGCATCATTGAACCAAGTGGAGTCCAAGCTCTCCAGATCTCCTTCAGCTCTGCCATTCTGGGAAACTTTGAAGAAGAGTTCCTGGTCGATATCAATGGGTCACCTGAGCCTGTGAAACTGACCATTAGGTAAGGTACATTTATAACTAATGTAGAAACTAACTGAAGTTTTGACCTATTGCCTTTTTAAGCTTTTTAAGTAGATCCTGTCTTAGATGTTCATAACTATCTCTGTTGATAAGAACACATCAGCATAACAGAGTGTGTTGAATTTCCATCAGCATTTCCCTAGTGAACATATATAAATTATTATAATATAGATACAGATGCTGTTTGGTGATCTAGTTTTTCTACAAGTTATTATCTTATAAAATAAGGATTCCCACAGAGCAGGTTGTTAATTATCATGGCATTTTCTCTTATACTGGTGACTGCTAGCAAGACTTCCCTCCATCTATAAGCTGAGTTATCCCTTGGGGCAAGACCCGGGGATAACATAGAAAAGAGATAGAGACATATGACCTGAAGGATCCAAGGAAAATGTACTGATCTCATGATACCTACTATACATTGAGAATCTCAAGATTAGCAGAAAGGTGATTGATTCTCAAACTCTTCTACCTAAGTGTTTCTGTTATTCACTGAATTGTGTCCCCAAGTAGTTATGTGTTGAAGTCCTAACACCCAGTACCTCAGAATGTGACTCTTCTTGGACATAGGGGCTTTAAAGAGGTAACTGAGGCAAAATGAGGTCAGATGGGTGGACTTTAATCTAATATGATTGGTATCCTTATAAGAAGAGGACATTAGGACACAGACACACACATAGAAAAGGGCCATGTGAAAAAGTAAAGAGATACCGAAGAGAGAGACCCTCAGAAAAAAATAACCCTGCAGTCACCAAGCCTTCTGACAGTGACAGAAATAAACTTCTGTTGTTTAAGCCACCCCATCTAGGGCACTTTGTTATAGCAACTAAGGAGAGTGGATGTGTGTGCCTCAAGGGTTCTGTGGCATGGCTAAAGCAGCCTGTCACAATCATAATCTTTTTTTTTTTTCAAGTCCCAAGGCTTATCTGAAACATTCACAAGACATTTACATAATATGTGTGTGTGTTTTATAAGAGGAAAAATAAGGATTGTCCTCTAAATATTTGAATGACATTGACTCTTCACAAAGATGTGCCACACTTATCCCAGCCCATAGTTGACATCCTTTGGGTGTGTATACAATATGAGAAGGATGGAAATACTCTTTCATATTATATGAACTTCAGCCCACTTCCTACCTTCATAATATCTCATCTCTCATGACAAGCAGTGAAGAAGCAGGAAGAACAAAACTTGTGAATATAGCCTTGTCTCTAGTTCACGGATCCTCTGGTCCCATAAGGGCCTTTGATAAGATCCAGCAGATCAACTCTTGGAAGCTTTCTGACTACTGGGCATCAGGAAGTATTGCTTTGAATTATAAATACCTCTAACAACATCTAGTATCATAAGCAAGCCTTCATACATAAGCAGCAAAGATAAAACTTATAAGCTCTGTTCTTAAAAACATTTATGATAAAAGGAATAATGGCCCTATCTGTAGGTAGGAAAGTATGGGACGTTAAAGGAGCAGTTTTACTTTTCAGGTGGACAAAAGAAAGGGAAAATGCTAGCCGAGGAAAGCTAACTGCCCCTCAAGTTTAATAAAAAAGCTTATTCCAATTTCACCTGGCCGTTCCTCATTTTAAGTTTAGGCCTAATAATTAATACTATGTCTTACCGTCAACACACATACATAGCTACTCTTTTTAGGAATGAATGTGTGTTTTGGATATTTGTTTAATAGATTCTTATTGAGTACCTCCTTCAAGCAAGGTTGTCTATTAGGTGCAGTAACTCGTGTATTTGGGTTTGTTAGGCATTCCTGTTGCATGAATACTACCCCCCTTATGTTTGACTCTACATTATTTATCCAAATTCAGGATTGCCCATTCTCTAAACTATTCCCTAAACTCACTTAAAAATATAATAAAAGAAATAAGGGAATTTAAAAGTGTAGAAAATATCCATTTAACACAAAGACAGACAGTAATGGAGGAATAGAGGAACAGAAAAGACATGAGACATATAGCAAATAAGTAGTATGAGTCCTGCCCTATCAGCAATTACATTAGTTGTCAATATATTAAATACTTTAATTATAAGTTAGAGAATGGCAGAATGAATTAGAACAAAACAAAACCAAAAAAATGATGAATCTATATGCTTTTTACAAGATATCACATTTTAGATCTAAAGATATGAATATGTTGAAACCAAAAGGCTGGAAAAATGTATACCATGCAAACAGTAGCAAAAGAAAGCTGCAGAGGCTATGTTATACCAGACAAAATAGATTTTAAAACGAATATTGTTACTTAAGACAAAGAAGGGCATTTTACAATGATAAGATAGTGAATTCATCAAAAATATATGACAGTTATAAACACACATCTAATAACAGAGAACTAAAATATGTGAAGCACAGACAGACAGAATTGAAGGGAGAAATACACAATTCAGCAAAATGGTAGGGATGTAAATATACCACTTTCAATAATAAAAAAAAAAAACCAGAAGATCATAAAGGAAATAGTTGAACACTATAAACCTGCTAGACCTAACAGACATCTACAGCACACTCTACCCAACAGGAATAAAAGAAAGAACATTACTACCAACCTTACAGAAATTAAAAGGATTAGTGGATAATGCTATGAACAGTAGTACGCCAAAAATTAAATAATGTAGGTGATATGAACAAATTCCTTGAAAGACACAAACTACTAAAACTGACTCAAGAAGAAATAGAAAATCTGAATAGACCTGTAATATATTCTGACCAAAAAGCAAACAAACAAACCAACAAAAAACAGGATCATGTGGCTTCACTGGTTAATTCTACTGAATGTTTGAGAATTGTCATAAATCTTTCACAAACTCTTCCAGAAAATGAAAAGGTACAAACACGTTTCAGCTCATTTTATGAGGCCAATATTACCCTGTTACCAAAACCAGACAAAAAAATTACAAGAAAAGAAAGCTAAAAACCCATAACCTTTATGGATTTAGACCCAAAAATCTTTGTCAAATACTACCAAACCAAATCCAGCAACATGTGAAAAGGATGATACCTCATACCAAGTAGGATTTATCCTAGGAATGAAAGGTTGGCTTAACATATGAAAATCAATCAATGTAACATGACATATTAATAGAATAAAGGACAAAAACCACATGATTATCTCAATAAACACAGAAAAACATTTGCCAAAATTCAACACCCTTTTATGATTAAAAAACAAAAAACTTAACAAACTAGGAGTAGAAGGGAACTGCCTTTACATGGCTCAGAGACTGAAATGTGAAACTAAAAAACTGTCAGAAGAAAACATAGAGATAGGCCTGGCACAGTAGCTCATACCTATAATCCCAGCACTTTGGGAGGCCAAGATGGGCGGATTACCTGAGTTCAGGAGTTTGAGACCAGCCTGGCCAATATGGTGAAATTCTGTCTCCAATAAAAATCTAAAAAAATTGGCCAGGCATGATTATGTGTGGATGTAATCCCAGCTACTTGGGAGACTAAAGCAGAAGAATCACTTCAACCCAGGAGGTGGAGGTGGCAATGAGCTGAAATTGCGCCACTGCACTCCAGCCTGGGCAACAGAGTCAGACTCTGTCTCAGAAATAAAAAGGGATAATATGTATATCCAAAAACCAAATGAGCAATAGTTTTCAGATATCAGCACCTAAGCACAAGCAATGAAAGCAAAAATAAATTAGACTTCACCAGAATGCAAAAAAATTTGTGCTTCAAAGGGGATACTTTCAAGAAAGTGAAAAGACAACCTATGAAAAGGGAGAAAGTATTTGCAACTCATATATCTGATAAGGGACAATAAATTATTGGACAATTTTAACTCAATAAATAATCTAATTTAAAAATGGAGACAGTGTTTAAGCAGACATTTCTCCAAAGGAGATATACAAAAGGCTAATAATACATGAAAAGACTGTCAATATCATTAATCCTCAGGGAGATGTAAATCAAAACCCCACAATGAGATACTACTTCACGCTCACTTGGATGGCAAATACTTTTAAGATGAAAAATACAGAAGTTTCCCTTTTTCTGCATTTTTAGGTCCCAATGTGCAAAAGTAAAATTAGGGTTACTCAAACACAAACACTGCAATACTGTGACAGTTGATCTGAGAACCAAGGCAGCTTCTAAGTGCCTCAAGAGGGCGTGGCATATGCAGTGTCAATACACTGGACAAAAGGGTGATTCATGACCCAGGCTGAGCAGAGATGGATGACACAAGACTTCATCACACCACTCAAAATGACAGTCACTTCACAATGTTTGAGTGATTTATTTCTGGAAATTTTTCATTTAATATTTTTGGACCGTGTTGACCATAAGTAAACAAACAAAAAACAGGATCAAGTATCTTGATTGGTGAATTCTACTGAATGTTTAATGAAGAACTGTCATAAATCTTTCACAAACTCTTCCAAAAAAATGAAAAGGTAGAAACACTTTTCAACTCATTTTATGAGGCCAATATTACCCTGATACCAAAACCAGACAAAAACAACAGGAAATCAAAACTACAGATGAGGAACTACTGTAAGTGTTGGTGAAAAGATAGAGGAATGAGAACCCCTATACACTGACAGGAATGTAAGACATGCAGCCACTTTAGAAAATGGTTTATCAGTACCTCAAACAGGTAAACACGGAGTTGTCATATGACTAGCAATTCCACTCCTAGGTATATACCCAAAAGGACTGAAAGCATGTATTCACACAAAAACGTGTACATGACTGTTTATAACAGTATCATTCATAGTAGCCAAAGATAAATGCAATGTGGTATATCCATACAATGGGATGTTATTTGACCATAAAAAGGAATGGAAAGGAAATGAGGCACTGATACATGTCACAACATGGTAGCATGGATGAACCTTGCTACCCTGGTCTTCTGTGATGGCTTCTTTCACTTGTCATAATGTTTTCAAGGTTCATAATGGATGAATGTTGTTTTCAAGGTTTATAATGGTATCATAAATGCCTGAACCTTTAAAACA